GACAGACTAAACTGACCATATGGCAGTGGATTCAAATGAAGGGAGGATGAGCTCCAAACAGTTATTAATTGGACACAGTAGTTTTCTTTTCACTGCTGCCAAAATCGTGATAGCTACTTCCCTAGGTAAAAGTGCAAGCATCTCCTCTCCGCTTGTATTTTTCAATGACTCTTTAAAATCAAAGCCCACGGAGGCAGTCAGGTGGATTTAAAAGCAACTGAATTGCTGGGCTTAGAGGGTTGTGATCAGTACAAAGGCCAGCTGGAGGCTAGTTACTATTTGGAGTACCCTAAGGGTACTGGGGCTAATACTGTTTAACCTCTCTATTAATGATCTCAAGGTTATGGGATGGAGCACGCTCTCAGCAAGTTTGCAGAGGGTACCAAATTAGGAGGAGCGTTTGATACCTGTCCTGGTTTCAGCTGAGAGGATTGATTTTCTTCATAGTAGCCAGGTGGTTGTGCTGCAGTACTTTGACAGGCTGGTGAAGTGGACAGAGAGGAACCTCATGAAGTTCATCAAAGGGAAGTGCAAAGCCCTGCACTTTGGGAAGAATAACCCCATGTGCCAGTACTGACTGGGTAGAGGCTTCCTGGCTGGAAAGCAGCTCTGCAGAGAAGGGTCTTGGGGTCCTGGCAGACAAATTGAGCACCAGCCAGCACTGCGCTCTCACAGCAAAGGTGGCCAACAGCATCCTGGGCTGCAGAGAATTAGTGTGGTCAGTAGGTCAATAGAGGTGATCCTTCCCCTCTACTCAGCACTGATGAGGCCACATTTGAAGTGCCGTGTACAGTTCTGGGCTCACTGGTATAGGAAAGGCATGGACAGCCTGGAGCAAGTCCGGTGATGGGCCCCTACGATGATTAAGGGACTGGAGCATGATGTACAAGGAGAGGCTGAGAGAACTTGGGTTGTGTAGGGGGGATACTAATAACATCTACAAATACCTGATAGGAAGGAATGAAGATGGAGCCAGACTCTTCTCAGAGAGTCTCACTGAGTTTCAGAGTCTCAGCGGTGCCCAGTGACAAGACCAGGGGCAAGGGCACAAACTGAAATGCAGGAAATTCTGTTTAAACGTAAGAAAAATCATTTTTACTGTGAGGGTGGTCAGGCACTGACCCAAAGAGCTTGTGGAATTGCTGTCTTTGGGGATATTCAAAACCTGACTGGGCACGGTCCTGAGCAGCCTGCTCTAGCTACCCCTACTGTGAGCTAGGGGGTTGGAATAGGCAATCTGTAGAGGCCCCTGCCAGCCTCACCTCTTCTGTGATTTCCTCCATCCATAAAAGAAAAATTATCTTTCCCTTTTATGAATCAGAGACAAACCATTGATATTTTTAAAAGACAAAATCGGACTGCTCAGCCCCACCTACCAAATTTGCACTATTCTTCCATTACTTGATTTCTTTTGAGCCCACAATCTTGTCTTTCTTTAACCAGTCCTTTCCTTGTCTCTGCTCTGTTACTGCTGTTCGCCTGCACACTCTGTTCTTACCGTTCTAGTTCCTCATCAAGCCCTTGGAGAAATACTCCAGTGAAATCCCGGGTCTGTCTCCATCAATACTGTTTAAAACATCTCCCCTGCCTTGACTTTCATCCAAGAGTTCACCAGTCTCCTCAGAATGTTCCCTTCACCCTTAACTCCAACATTTAATTTCTGTGGCCAAAAAACCCATATCCGTGCTCTAGACCAGGAGCTAGCTGTGGTTGTAATTTGAGTAGGGAATAAGTCAAAAGGTAACAGAGTAATTGCGAGGTTAATATTAAAGTTATTCTGCTTCCTCTTCACTGTACTTCCTCTTAGGTGTTGTGTAGCCTTTGAACTACATCGTGAGAGAATCATCATTATTGCTTTAGAAATACCACGATGCTCCATACCAATTTAATATTAGCCAGTTAATCTCTACAATGCTGCCTTCCAAAACTGTAAGAAAAATGTAAAAGCTAAGGCAAAAAATTGTAGTCGCCTGTTCATTATCATGATGACTGATAACAGTGGAAACCAAGTTGTCTTTATGCTTTCATTCAAAAAGTAACTTCCCCAGGCAAATAAAAAGTTGGCAATGCTGACTTCATTTCTCAAATCTGGCATATAGGTCTGTACTTCCAGTAAGGCTGATGCTGGCCAGCAGATTTTATTTTTATTTTAAAACCAGATACATTTTAATTATGTTCTTTCTGGATTTTCTCTTAATTAATTGGAAATATCCGAAGAGTTAATAAAAATACAAACTTTGTTTGATTCTATATCAAACCTGACATTATGATCTTTTTATCTACAAGGCAAGAATTATGTGGGGTCAGAAGTCTGAATTATTCATTTTAGTTTACAGCCATTTTTTCCCTCCTCCTTTGTTCAATATAAAATCTTATAAGCTTTTCTTTCAGTCAAGGTGAAAGCAATATTAAGTCTTGGAAGTGAAACTTAGCAAAGACATGTAGCTCTCTGAAATCCTTGTCCTGTAATCCTGGCTTTCTATTCACCACCACTGTTCAATATCCCACTTTCTATAGAAGCTTCGCAATATATAAGCAGTTGATGAGATTTATTTGTTATGCCTCTGTTTTTCTCCTTCATAAAAAAGCTTTATCCATCCCTTCGCTCCTCTAAAAGTAACACTGATGTCTGTGATGATTGTTTCTGCTGGGCTCTCTAATCCAGCAGCTCCATTCAAGATGCTGGACAGTTGGTAGAGGGTGGAAAGTGAGGGAGGAGGAGAGTTGTGCTTGTTAAGATACAGGATACCATGTGTAGAGAATTTTAAAAACATTGTTAAGATCCAGTTAAATAATTATGAACTAACATGGTTGATTCTGTGAGCAGAAATACTGGCAGGTCACTTCTGAAAGATGCTTTATGAATTAAAGCTTGACTGTAGTATGTTGGACCTCTCTAAGGGACTAAACAGAATTATTTCTGGTCATTTTGGAGACGTGACAACAGATGAGATGGAAGTTGAGTCTGATCTATGCTAATGAGCCCTACATTTCCTATTTGCAGTATTGCTCCTGATGCCTGTACCAGCTCCATGTATCTTTATCTTACAGCCTCTGACTTCATCTGTCATGGTGTTTTTCTCTTAAACGAGCACATTTCTGGATAGAAATGTAAAAGCTTTCTTATTTGTTACTAAGGTTAAAATGACAGAGTATCGTTGTTGTTAAAGAAGTTCTTTGTCTTTAACCTTTTAAAAGTAAATTGCTGCCTTTAAGGTGAAATTAAAACATACAGAGAATTCAGTATGCAACTAGCATGCACACCAGATGATCTGAAGGAAGCGTGCACATTTCCATAGAAAACAAATGTGAGCGTAGGAAAGCAGATGCTTTCTACCAACAGAGCGTACATACAGTTCTCAAGAGAACCTGAACAGCAATTTATTTTCAGACTGCTGGAAGTATGCAAATTCCTACAGAATTAAATGTGAATTTAAAAGAAATGGCATCTATTAAGGACAAGACAACCCAAAGAGGCAATTGGGAACTTAATAATTTAATCAAGAACTTTAACAGGCTCAGCAGTATATCTAAAGTCAATGACTCAAATGTCATCTGTTTTTAGCAAAGACGTAAGTGGTCATGTTGAAAAGATGTCTTTTAGACTATGGCATTTGGAGTGTTTATCTGTGACTATGGAGAAGTACATCGCTGTGGTACGTATAGTTTTTCAGAGGATTCTCCATCAAAAAGCATCATCTGTTCACTTGAGCTGCTCGTAGGGTATAGTCAGTGATACCTGTGGTGTATCGCCAGCATTCTGTTAACTATTTTTAACTTCTATTAGTTTAACTCAGCAAGTCTGGGTAAGTTTGATTCTGTCCTGACACACACGTAATCACCACAATAACTAATTAAATTCTTACTACTGGACGTTCTTCCACCTGATGGCTGTGGGGTTGGATGGACGTTACTGAAGTTATAATCTGAAGGCAAGGGAATAGTGCCAAGTGCAGTGGCATAATCTCGCACAAGGGGTATTGCTGGTGAGCCGGCAGCCAGCTGCATAGACGTGGGAACTGTGGTTTTTGCTCCTTTCTGGAAAAGCGCAGTATTCCTGGAGTGGTGATGAACACACAGGATGGCAGAATTGAGGCTTGCCAGACAGTTATCTGCAAGCTCTCCTCCCTGTTATACCCCTACAGAATCCAACTGCTGCTTTTCTGTCCCTTAGTGATTCCATTTAATGACTCCGTTTGTACAGAGAGATGCCCAAGTGGGGTCAGGGAGGGCGGGAGATGTTGGTTTAGTGGAACATGCAACATCACATTTAGTATAAATTTTCGCTAAACATGTAAGGTCAAATGCGTTCGTTTAGATGTGCTGGAAGCGACAAGTTTTGGGGCCTTTTGAAAGCTGTCAAAAGGCAATGATGGTCACTGCTTATAACTTTAGGAATTTAAGCGTTCATATATGACAAGGGTTCTCATGGCAGGAAACCCCCCGTACGACCTGGAGCCTACCAAGCCCCATCGTGCCAGTACAGATTAATAAAGACAGTGGCTGGGCTGTGTCACCCACCTCTCATACACTCCACAAACCAGGAACAAAGTAAACAGGTACAGCGTTACCTCATTTCACAGCAGAAATACTTGAGCTGATAACTAAAATCAACCCCTCCGCCATCAGCAGGGGAGGCACTGTCATCACAGGGGTGAGTTTGCCAGGTAAGGTCATCTCCACAAGTGGAGTCTTCTCAGCCTTGTGAGTTGCTCTTTGTACTCTGCCCGTGTGTTTTAAAACCACAAGTGACTGCATCGGGTCTGTAAAGTCAGAGGTCAGTAATATTCGTGCTCCCCATGGACTGGGCAACCTGAGCTAGTGGAGGGTGTCCCTGCCCATGGCAGGGGGGTTGGAACTAGATGGGCTTTGAGATCCCTTCCAACCCAAACCAGTCTATGATTTTATGATTATTACAATGTTCATTCTCTGGCTGGTTTGCATTAGCTGAGAGTCATCCTTTCACAACTGGATAATATGTATTTTTTTTCTTCTCACAGGTTGTAATCCTTGGCAAACATTCTAGAGGCTATCACTACATGTTAGCTAACCTGGTAAGAACTTCCCTTCATTACAAGTAGAGCTATGTTTTAGAGGGTAATATATTCTGTTCAGGTTGTGTCAACTTTAATCAGCAAAAGAAGAAATGCATGAATGAGTTCTCGCATTTTGAGAAACTACTTCAGAAAATACTACAACTGGTATGTTATAGTCATTTGTACTCAATTATGGTCTTTCTTTTGTCTAAGAAGCTCGTATCCTCTACTAATTTTAAAATAATAATTTAATTATATGTTTTCCACTAATTTGTATCCTCATAAATAAGACACTTGATAACCATAATCATCTATGTAACATATTTGAAATTTAAGTGCTCCAGGAAAAATAATTATAGCATATTAGAGTATAAAATAAGTGAAAGAAAGCAGCAAATTAGAACAATTCCATCAAGTAAACAGCTGTTTAGCTGTTCTTTTTTATTTCAGAGTGTAGGGTCATGCCTGTGTATGTGTTGACCTACCAGGATAAGACAGTACATTTGTATAGGTATCAGAGCTTCTTCTGGATTCTAGAATTTACTTTCAGGGAAGTTTATGATGCCTTTGAAACACCATCTGCTAGAGATCCTTAGAAAAAGTGTTACATGAAGGTGTTTAAGCTGAAGGAGGGTAGATTTAAATTAGATATTAGGAAGAAATTCTTTACTGTGAGGGTGGTGAGGCACTGGCACAGGTTGCCCAGAGAAGCTGTGGATGCCCCCTCCCTGGCAGTGTTCAAGGCCAGGTTGGACGGGCCTTTGGGCAACCTGGGCTAGTGGAGGGTGTCCGTGCCCATGGCAGGGGGCTGGAACTAGATGATCTTTAAGGTCCCTTCCAACCCAAACCAGTCTATGATGCTGCATTGTAATTGATCCTGCAGACTAGGTTTTGGGTTCTGTGTCTACTGTGAGTGGAAAAGTGTTTTTCTAAAACACCCACTTCCAAATTAGCAATCCCATGTAGCAGAAAATTGTCTGTATCCGTGTTTTGGTGTGATTAAAGCAGAAAAGACAAATTTTAAAATACTCTTATTTAGTATAAGTACTGTATGACTTTAAGAAGTGTCATTTTGCATAATAAGAACCAGTCATGATCTCACTGATTAGCGTGTGCATAGAAATACAGGGGTTCTTACTCTGGGTTACCTTTTAGCGTGTGTAACCACTGACATTCAGATAAACATGACTGCAATCAAGTCATACTAATCAAAAAAGACACCAATTTACTGGCTCAGGCATAAATAACAACAGAGTGGGAGGGAATCATACCATTCTGTTTGCAAGTGAAATGTTAAGTAATGCCGTGATGGAGAACTGCCTAGCAAGGCGGTGCGTGCTTTGCCTCCACAGAACAAGATGAGTGTTGAGTGGTTTTCTACTCCCAGCGCTGAACCTTCACGTGCACTTTGCTGTACAAATGGGATCGAGGTCTTTGACCAGTTTTCACCGTGATGAGGAGAAAAGAGGAAACAGTACTTCAAGTTTCCCCGCTGTTTTCTTTCTGATCGGTGAATATTACGTACCACGTTGCCACAACGCAACAGGGCAATTTTCTGTCGCAAAGATCTGAAAAGAAGACATTTTAAACTCTACTCACAATCCCAATTGTGATAGTAATTGTCTCCTCGGTAGAATATTGTCAGCTAACGAGGGAAATTAATCAATTTCCTTTGTGCTACGCTTATAGCAGGTAAAACTGAGCTAAAGAAAAGGGACTTTGCATGGCAATGACTCTTGTTTTCTACATGTGTCGTCCCAGGGTTTCACAGACATTGTTCTGGAGAGAGTAATGCACGGAGGTGCCAATATTACTGGATTCCAGATTGTCAATAATGAAAACCCAATGGTTCAACAGTTTCTACAACGCTGGGTGAGGCTCGATGAAAGGGAATTCCCTGAAGCCAAAAACTCACCATTAAAGGTATTTATTTTACCCTGACAGTGATGGAGACATATTATATGAGTTGCTTTTAACAATTACTTGGGGTTTTTTACCCCTAGGTGTGTGCATGTGTATGATACAGGTCCCTGATTAGAGTATGTTGCAACATTGACTGCGCTTCTAGAAGAGAGAAGGCGGCAGGGGCTGTTAGTTGGACACAAGTGCCCACTGTGGTGGGAGTTCCTCAGAGGCAAAGGCTTGGTCTTGCAAAGCCTGTCATTTTGCAGTGGATACAAAATCTTTTAACTTGAAGTTCTTGAGTTAGTCTTGGGGTGGGGGCTAGTTAGGTTAGTTTTTAGATGCAAACTGTGGGTTACTAGACCATTTTAACACTAATAGAGAATTTCATGTGCAAAATAAAGTAGCTCTAGATTCACTGAGGAGCCACTGCCACCTCCTAGTCACTGCTGACAGTTGCCCTCATAATCTGACCCTGTGTTTTGGACCACCGTCCTTTAGTTGAACGCTCTGAATGTTATGTCTGCAACCAATAAAATTTTCCAAATTTTTTTGATTGAAAATCCCGGGTTCACCAAAACTCTCATAGATTGGGTGAACTAAAGGATACTGTTACTAGGAGACTCGCAACCTATTAATATCTCCTCCAGACTTTTTTCTGCCTCAGCATCTCTCTAGTAGAAGGGGATGCTATTCAGTGTCCAATCAAGGAGTGCATCAAGGATACTCTGTCCGGTGATGGAAGTCATAAAATCTTCTAGGACCACTGCATATTATTAATATTCCTGTTACATTCCTTCTTTCTCTTCCTGTTTTGGTGAGGCCTGTTCTTTTTCATCAATATGCATAGGTGAATATAACCTGGGACTGGTGGTGGATGAGAGGACCTTAAATTCTGTCACTCCTGGGAGTTCAGTCCTCCATATCACGTGTACTGACTGTGTCAGGGAAGCCAAACCTATCAGAGAACCACAGCCATGATGAGATAATTCATGCCTTTCCTGCTTGATTTGGGAGACTCACAAGCAAATCGATGAACAGATTTGGAATTCAGAATTACTCTGATAAACTGGAGTAATGTCTTGACATTAGTAAGACAAAATTCAGGGAAGCATAAAAGACTATGTAGGAAGGAAAATTCTAGTCCAGCCCAGTGCATGGGGGGATACCAGGGCAGGCGCTGGCACTGTGTCGTACTGCAGACAGAACAGGAACCAGTTACAAGGTTCTGCTGCCAGAAGGCCAATGCCATTTGGATGCATGCTTTTTCCATCCCTGGGATCATGTCATTTCTGAGGGGAAGGAAAATTATCTTAATCCCACGCTGTGCCAGAGCCTTGCTGGCATTTCAGAGGAGGCAGAAAAGGCAAGCAGAGGCCCACAGAACTCGGATTAATGTATTGTTCCCTGTTGATTAGGACCTAGGCCTGCTTTCTGAAGCTTCCTAGCAGTCAAGCAGAAGTGAAGATAAGTATCGTACTAATCTTAAAAGCTCTGAAATATATAAAGTTAACCTGGGAAGATTTTATTCCACTTGAAAGCAATTTACCTTGAGGGAAAAATTATTCTCCATCTTTAAAAAAGAATCTCAAGTATACGATACAAACACAAAGATTACATTACCTTTCCACAAATGTAGCACTCATTATAGAAACGTGCACAGTATTTGTCAATCAGACAAAAAGCGTACTTAAAAATTGATGTACAATATTTTTGATTAGGAAATAAAATTGCCTAGAGATTAAAGCCCTGATGTTTAATTTATTCTGTATTTTATCAGCCTTTCCCTTCTCTCTCTCTTTTTTCTCTTTGCATGCTCATGCATTTATAAGTAGAATTCAAATAAAGTAGAAAATTAGATAGCTCTCTTGGCATGACTTGGAAGGGACTGCGTTAAGGTAACTGACAATTGACGCAGTCTGCTGAAAAAATTATCAGCCTGTAAGTTTTATGTAGTGCTAGATTGGACAGCTATTACAATATTTTTTTAATCCAAGAACAAATACCTTAAAATTACTATCTGATTCGATATTGTTGTGTGGAATGTGACGTATAACCATTGTTAACTTACTAAAAGAGGAGAGGGTGATCGTTGCAAAGCATCACAGGAGGAGGTAAAGGTGGGCAGGATCGAAAGAGCGCCTGTACCTGAATACAGTCAGAGCAGGAACCACCCCACACACACCCAGTAAGAGTTTATAAACTGCTCATTTAAGACGCAGTAAGAATGACTGCTGTATAGCCTTCTTCACAATCCTACCTTTGCACTCTTTTTTGTCAGATACAGTTCTCTTGATCTGCACATGCAGACATGCCTCATTCTGTGCAGATTTCCTAAGGCTTTATATCAAACTGAAGAGCTTGCAATAAGATACTACACATTTTTTAAGAAACACAGCCCACCAATTGTGCTATCCTGCCCTACAGGATCAAATTAACTTCTTCTGAATTTAGTAAGTCTTAGCCACAGAGAGGGTAGCTGAACGTGCTGTTGAAACTTGGATTTCCACCTTTCTAATTCACGCATGGGCAGCCTGTCTTCTGGTACCAACTCCAGCGTGAGGTTCATCAGGAGCCAGGAGCTCTACGGAATCACACAGCCAAAAGAAGAGCAGGCACACCAGTACATGCAGATACCCCTTACATTCTTTGTTCCTGCTCTTCATTCTCTTACAAACACTGTGGAAATCTAAAGGGTCAGTTACAAGGGGTTTGAAATCTGGCTTTACACACTGAGTATATTCAATTGCTCCCAGTATGTACATGTTGAAATGGTCTCCTGTACACAGAACCTTTAGTTATAGGTGTGTTGTAGTGCCGGTGAAAACCAGTGATGTCATATGCTAAGCCTGGGGCACTCTAGGAAGGAAGACCTTTCAGACACATAAATGTGGAAAAAATGTGAAAAAACTACCTCCGTGACATTTCCTAGGTGATGCTAAATTTGTAGCATTGGGAGTGTCACCAGATACATACGACAAGCAATGGATGAAGTTGACAGCAACACGAACAAGTAGTTAAGGAGTCTGGAGGTTTTGTTGAAGAGTTGCTGCTACACAAAGCTTACCACCACCCTCAGATTTACCGTGGACTAAGAGAAGGCAGATGGGGAATTACCAAGGAGGTGTAATGCCTAAAGCATATTTTGTGATTACTCGCTTGTATAGCTGTCTTCTAAGAAAAGTAATCTGATCTATTCCTTGCCGCAGATGCTACCTAATCAGGGTTGTGGTCCAAACCAAAATGATTTATGTTAACTTCAATTCAAAACTGTCTTGGCAATCTTGTTAAAAAGAAAAAGAATACTCCAGGCAAAAACCAAATACGAGCTCTTCTTTGTTATTGGTAGCAGTATGGGCCAGCATGGAATTGCCGAGTTTTGTAGTGACCTCATTTAGATGACTAAGCTTCCAATTAAATTTAAACTTTATGCAACTATAAACTGGTTTTGTTATTTTGCTGCTGTATGCTCTACCAAATGAAAATATTTTTAATTCGTTAATTGAAATAGATGGAATTATTAAACTACGGAAGCACCTATGTCAAGACAGTGAGCAAGCAAAAGGGCTTGCAAGCATGATTCTTCTAAGAGTATTTTAACAAAGAGAAGGTGTAGACCTGATAAACCTGGGGGAAGTCTAAGACTTCAGTTTGTCGCCTTATTTTATTTGCATCAATTCTAGTACACGTCTGCACTGACCCATGATGCAGTCCTAGTCATAGCCGAGGCTTTCCGTTACCTCCGAAGACAGCGTGTGGATGTCTCCAGGAGAGGTAGTGCTGGAGACTGCCTGGCTAACCCTGCAGTACCATGGAGCCAAGGAATTGATATAGAAAGAGCACTCAAAATGGTAAGGGCAAACATACCACCTAATGAATGTGTGTATTCCACAACAGCAGCAGTTCTGGGGCTTAACTTGCATCTTACTCCGTGTACACAGAGTTTCTGTACTCACACAAACAGCTGTAGCTCCTCAGGAAAAAAAAAGAAATTAAAAACAAACAATGACAAACTGCAAAGGATGGCTAAAATATATTCAATAGAGACCAAGGCATAAGAAATTAGCTTTCAAAACTTTGGCCAAAATCACATCTCTCTGACCGGTGCAGCAGCTGCCTGATTGTCCACAGCGGAGCAGTCTAACCCCCCCATAACACCCAACCTTCCTGTCACAGCGAGCGTGAGCCATTTTGCACACGAGCATGTGTTGGGGGTTTCTAAAGTCAGGCTGACTGAGGCTGCAAATCTGACTAACAGAACTAGACTGGATCCTCAGCATGTGGATTGTAGATCTTGCAGGGATACATGTATTTATGAACTTAAACACATGTATGCAATTTTGATAATTTGCCAGTAAAAAGTCAACTCAGATTGGTTTAAAGCAGTGGAAAAAATTTTGTCGGTCGTACCACTACTGCTGGATTTCAGCACCAGCCTGAACCTTGACACAGTTTAGCCTCAAACCAGTTCTGATTCCTGGCGTAACTTTGCACTCAGCCTGATTACCGTCTGCGTGGCCTGGTTTTTATCCCTACCACTAGTTATTGCATGGGATCCTACCTCACTTATGTCTCTAATTTTGTTGATTTTTAACTCTTTTTAGACTGCTATGTGTTAAAGCAAGTGACAACAGGAAAAATTGGATATCTCTCAGATATAAGAGACAAGAATGTGGTCTGCTTTTGATCTGGCTCAAATAACTCTAAAGCAAACCTGTTAGAATCGATTCTTTTAATGCAGGCATAGAACTGGAATGAGTGAGATCAGAATTAAGCCCGTGTTAGGCATAAACAAATCCTAGGTCAGCCTTCATACATTTAGCTTAATTACTGCTTTTTCTCAGTTACCATATTGGAAGGATTCTATCAGAAGGTTATAATGAGTTATAGAGGGTTATAATCAGTTTTTATCACTCTTAAGAGGGAGAGAGATGGTTCAGTCTCACATTGCCAGAGCTCTTTTTATGTCATTATGTCACTTCCTAACAAATGCCTTAACTGCACGTTCACTAATGTAGCGTTACACACTTTTGAAGACAAGTTGATTAAATTCAGCCTTCACAATAGTTAAAGAATTTGTACTGTCCATTTGAACTTAATTGCAAGCAAAACAAAAAACTCCTCTGAATGTGATATAAGGTATTCATGTCAACAAAGAAAACCAATACTGCTACAGGACACTCCCTTATTCAGGAGAATTTATTTAAAAACCATAATTCATAAGATACACAAAGCCAAACACATGATTGGCGAAAAATGCAGACGTTTGACTTTCAGCTGATTGCCTTGTATTGTTTTAGCTATTCAAAGTCATGTAAGTGAGGTTTATATACACCTCCACCAAGTGCTACCCAAGATCATCCCACACTGCCTTCCAGACCCCATCCTGTCCATCACACTCTCTCCCTCTATTCAGACAATGATCTTGAATCTTTACTTAAGCAAAAAAAACCTGATTTAACAGTGTTCCACTCCACTCTGTAGCAACAACTCAGGTAAGAATATTTTTTCCAAGACATCCTTGAAATACCCTGTGCCAGCAGAAGGTTCGGTGCCATACTATAGTCAGATGGAAATAGGCATTACCTGGGTCTGCTTCCCTAAAGCCTTGAAAACTGTGCGTGTCTGTATTTCTAAAGCTGATTCTAAGACATGAGATCAGTGACAGACAGTTTACCTGAACAGATCTGGGCAGTTATAAATAGTCACTCCATTTGCGGTTGCCTCTGCATGCTGCTACCAGAAGCGTTCTGAGTCCTGGTGAGTCTTCCTGCCTCGGTGCAGCCAGATTTTGAAAAGCACTGAGTTTTCCCACCAAAGATAGAAACAAATTAAATTTGAAGTCAAAAGGTGTCAAGTGCACAACGCTCATGTCTCAATACGCATCAGGATGAAGCTGCCCTAACAAGCTCTGCTGAGACATACAGTCACTGCTGTGCTAAAGTAGCCAGACAGCTTCCAGCAAGTGCCAGAAGCAGGCACAGCACTCACATCTGGCTGCAAGTTATATGTCAAGTACCCTACAAATACATTTGCTCAGTCCAGAGTTGATAAGACCTCTTGGGGGCAAATTTGGCTTTCAAAGTCCCACTCACCTCTCTAGCTTTCTGGAGACAGGAATAACTCACATGTTCTTCCAGACCCCTGAAATGATATAAACTATTTTAAGAAAGGTTCAAATCCACTTATTGATGATAAAAAAAATCACACTCCTTATAGGTCAGTCTGAATTTGGCTCACTGGATAATTTGGGGTCCAAGGAATTTTGGCTGTTTCTGTAGCCTTGTCCACCGTAACAAGTTTGATCGCACCATCTCTAAACCATAACTAGCAGATCAGCCACCAGCCCTGAACAGTTTCCCTTTGACTAGTCTTCCATCACCTCTTCCTCTAACTTCTACAGCATTTCGCTAAATATTAAAGCTAATTTACCCCAACTGAAGTTTTGTACTGTTACCCCTGATGTTGCCTGAGATGACAGCTTGTCAGTGTTGATAAGTGATAAATGGAAATATCTCACCCTTTCATACAGGGAAATAAGATTTTTTCTTTGAAACAAAGTACTTTATACTTCCCTTAAGATGATTCATGTGAGTAGGTAATGATAATGACTTACCGTCTATACACTCATCCATCCAGATTGAGACCAAAACTCCATAACCAGTAGAAACAATTGTCTGTAGTCATTCGGAGAAGACATTCATTCCTTTCTCCTACCCTGGGACTGATCTTAAAATAAAAGCACTTCCTGGAATGAGCAATGATGTGGGATTCTGGTCCGTATCGCAGATCACGCTGTACCCCCTTGTGAGGGGTTTAATGGCACTGTGCCTCGCTGATACTCCATGCTGTATCAGTAACCCAGTGTGACTCAGCATGACAGAAGCAGTCTTTCTTGCATTTAACATACGTGCAGGGCTAATTTCACTTATGCTTAAATGCAGCTCACTCTGTAGTAGTGAATCACCAGCCGAGTACTAACTAACAAAGAATATGTACAGCTGAAACGGAGAGAATTGGGATTGTTTTTTGTTATGAAGAATATAACTGGCTATGTCAAAAGTGCTACAAGTCTCTTATATAGATAAGAATTGTGCTAGAGCTAGTGGGTTCCTGCAAAATGTAACAGAGGGAAAAATAAAGTGAATCTTTTATTAAAATGTTTTTTCTGTTTATTCCCTTAAGGTGCAAGTTCAAGGAATGACAGGGAACATCCAGTTCGATACCTATGGGCGGAGAACAAATTACACAATTGATGTGTATGAAATGAAAGCTGCTGGATCACGGAAGGTGAGTTTCAAGATACGCATCCAGATTTCACGTCTTCACAAATATTTATTCCAACAAACTAATGAAACTCAAAACCACCACACTGGTGCTGTAATAACAGGGCCCTGAGGAAACCCCACCATCTTGCTGTTTTCCCTGTCCCAGGAACCTTGTTCTATTCTGTTCCTGAACCAAACCGCGTGCCCTGCTTAATATCTTCATTGGTTTCCATGTCAACTTCAGACCCCACTTTTTTCCCTTAAAACTCTTGCGGAGTTTTTCCACTGCCAAGCAGAATACCTGCTGTCACGGTCCTGTGCTCAGCCCTGTCTCCTAAATTCCATCTTTCCCTTCCTCTCCATAGCAGACCTTGGAGCTGTAGTGAAACTGGAGCCAGTGTATTTTAGAAACCTGAAATTAACAGAAAATAATTTGGTTTTAATTAGTATTTGCTACCTGTTCTCCTGTCTCCTAAATAAAGTATAGATCCTAAGTGGGATAGTTGCCTAGATCCCTGTTATAAAAGAAATTTAGTGCAGATTTTCCAAAATAATTAGGTAGGTAGGGTCTCAGGAGTATCGAGAGAAGAGTTTGTGTGGCCACGGGATGTAAATCCCACTGATTTCACCTGGCGATAGGTACCTAGCCTGCTTAGTCACCGGTGCGACTCCTTGAACTCTTCTGCACATATTTGATAACGAAATACCTCTGGACATGGCCCAGCCATTCAGCTTGGTTTACAGTGCCAGCAAAAGTGTTACTTCTCTGTTGTGCAGAAATACAAAAACCAGTGTTACAGCATAGCAATGTAGCCACGGCACCATGAAGGTCAGCAGAAGCCAGCTGGCAAATAGTCACCTCCTGCTCACAGAGGGTCGTGTATCCCCTGCTGAAGATGCTGCTGCTGTGCCTGCACTGCTAACGACGTCTGGGCATCTGCTCTAAAGCTAGCTCAAGCACGTCTGCAGGGACTGCATTCACTGTCCGAACTGCAGCAGAGTAGGGATAAAAATTACAAAATCAAAGAATTTTGTGCAGTTTATTCTCCTGTCTAGAGCATATTCTCATGCTGTGCATGCATGGGAATTTATTCCACAGGCACCACGATGATGTGAATTCAGATAGGGAGAATTTAATATGTATTTTCTCTTAGATTTGGGTTGTATTTATTTGCACGTGGGCTTGAGAGGATTGTTTCTTTAAGGAAATTAAATTAAAGCTAATGTAGTCCTTTCATGGCAAAACGTTGCATGAATAAGCGTTACAAAGCCATATGTTTTGACAGTTCCTGTTACAAGTTCACACACCAGAGTCCTTGTAAACGTGTGTAGTGAGGTAACAATCTCCATTTTTATAGGCTGGTTATTGGAACGAATATGAAAGATTTGTGCCAGCATTAGATCAGCTGCCCTCTAACGACACTTCATCCGTGGAGAACAGAACTATAGTAGTCACTACCATCTTGGTAAGTTTTATGTTCTTAGTGTGTTTGTGTTTAGGAAACAAGACGCATGGCTCCTGAGGTGTGCTAGACGCCTGGCCAGGAGGCAAATGTTGAATACTGGGTGGCTTCAAGTGACTGAAAAGTTCAACATCTTCCAGAGATGTGCTGAGGGCTTGCCCTCAAACTTCCACGTGTATCGCTAAGTTTACTCACAGGAGAAGCTCACTGAGCTCAATGTTGCGTTTTGCTGCTTCTCAGACACTTGAACTCAATCAAATGCCTCACACAAGTGAAGTTATTATGCATGTATGTAAATGACTGCAGGATCTGGCCTTCCTGCCATAGGGTCAAATCCTGCACCCCTCACTCAGGTACAGCTCCTGTAAACTCAACCCCTGAGGACTGAGTAAGGGTGGCCCAATGAAGCCTGTAGAGAACTGGAACTGCTCTAGCACTGGGTGAAAAGCGACCTATACCCGTGCAATTCCAAAGGAGTAAAGCTCTTCCTGTGTCTCATAAACAGCAGCAACCGTGTCAGTCCCAATGCCTCTAGCAGATGTGCTCTGTACAGTATTGTTTGTGACTTTTATGCCTGTTACAGTTCTACTAAGCATGAGCCAATTTTATGCTATTTCCTGAAGCTTTGTATTATATACTCGTACGGATTTAGCGAGATATAATCAGCATTTCAGCTAGAATTTTCCAAGAAGGCTAAGGGAATTTATTGACAAAAATTGCTGCTGAGGATTTTAGCCTAGCTTCCCTTAGGCTGCTTTGAAAATATCTCCATCAGAGCCCCGTTCTAGGCCACTGGGGCCTTAGGAAATTATTTTGATGGTACAAGTGTTGGGTATGTCAGTTCTTTAAACACTAAAACCTGGTTTATTACTACAGTGATGCTATTTGACTGTCTAATCAGGCCTAATCCTGCAAACAAAAGTGTAACTTCGTTAACGTGGAATAGTCCTGTTGTCTTCAATGGGTCCGTACTAGGAATGAAATCAATAGTATGTGTGGCTGTAGGATCAGCCAAGGATTTTTAAACTGCAAAAGTCTGTCTTTCTGTACCAAAGCAGGAAATATTGTAAATACTTGCCAGTAATATAAAGGATAATAAGAGCTCTCATTTTGAATGTTTTAAAGCTGTATTTTACATTCATAGACTTTTGATCTTTACTTTTGTTTCAAAGGAATCACCATATGTAATGTATAAGAAAAACCATGAACAACTAGAAGGGAATGAGAGATATGAAGGATATTGTGTAGACTTAGCTTCTGAAATAGCAAAACATGTTGGAATAAAATACAAACTGTCAATTGTTGGAGATGGGAAATATGGAGCTAGGGACCCTGAGACTAAGATATGGAATGGCATGGTGGGTGAACTGGTCTATGGGGTAAGTTTCTCTTAACCTTCATTTTAATGTTCTTTATAAAAAGTTATGCTGAAAGTTAATAAACTGCAAAATAAAGATCGCCTGTTTGAATACCGCCTTTAAAATTCTAGATATTTCTTTGTAGTGCCATTTTATAGTCTACTTTTCTAATCATTTCATTGCAGGAAAGTGTCACTTTTTTACTGCTGTTCTCCAAATCAGAGTCCACAAAATGTTGAGAAGTGGCATTGGGCAAATTTCAAATCCTTGTCTACGGCAGAATTTCCAGTTTGCCCCTCACATGCTGCTTTTGCATTTGCCACGTCTCCTTTTGCTCTGTCAGCCCTGTAAGTGCTGGGAGGGTGCACCCTCCTGTTAAAGGTCTGATCCTGTGATGCTGTGCTGGCCCTCGTTGGATCACTGAGGTGATCCACTCACATCCACTGATGTGAGACTAAAAACTCAGCCCCGTGGGTGTTTTTCAGGGTAAGAAGCAATGCAGGTGTGAAATCACCCACATATTTTTTAAGCCTTGGGTTCGGCTTTAAAAATCGACTGTCAGACCAAAAAAAAAAAAAAAAAAGTCTGATTCTTTGCATTCCTTTTTATATTTCCATATTGGGTGTACATTGCTTTGTTTAGTAAGAACAAAAACAGTCCGGAATTGCCATTTTAGAAACTTCTTTGAAAATGAGAATTTTGGAATACAGATAAACCAGATGGAAGGGGGAGAAAATTGGCTTTGCAGAAAAGACTTTACAAGCTGATATTTCATCTTTGCTTTTTTTTCCCCAAATGCTAATGAGATGATTTGTGATTCCACCCAAATCTTCTTTACAGTTTATTTTTAACAAGCTTTCCTTTATTAAAAATATCTGAGCAGAAGCGAATATTTCCATTGCCTCCTTTTGTTCCATGGCTGAGTGTAATTTCTAAAAGTCACCTCAAAATTTCCTTGGGATAACATATCATCAGTCTTGAAAAAATGTTGGGCGAGATAATTCTTTTGAAATGAATCAGTCTTTTTAAAGTAATCACTAGATTTGAAAAAGTTTTCTTATTCTGGAGGAGTCAGTCCTGATGCCTTATTATATACTTGCTAGCCTATTCAACTTATTTTGAACATTTTAACAACAAAATAATTTTAACAACCAACAATGTCTTTGTAGTATTGTATTAAGGGGAAGGAAATCTATCGATTAGAAAAAGTAAACAGGGATCTGGGCCCCTTGATTGTATCTTCACTTCCCCGTTGCATTGAGGTTTAACATTTTACAAATCTTCTGAACTCCCCATGCCTCAGTTGTGTGATTTGGGAAACCGGTGTTAACTCTCTTAGAGAATAGAAGTACATCAAGAACCTCTGAAGCAAAGGTTTGGTTTAGTTCCAAGCATAATTACATTGCAGTGGAAACCTAAACCCTCAGTTTCCCTGAGTGTGGTTCAAGAAATATCAAGAGTATTAGCTGTAATTGGGTCCTTTTCATATATATTTGCAAGTGACAAGCAATGAAACAGTTTATTCACTTAAACAAAATAATCATAGCATATGCAAAAGGCATGACAAAAGAGAACCTGAAATTACTGCTAACAGCCAGGGCGCAGGGACCGTCTGCACCAGCGGAGGGAAGGTGTGGCATGGGCCACTGCCCTTGGGACTTGAGCCAAGTAGGGTTAGCCTGTGCAGTGCTCTACGATGCAAGATCCATCTGTGTAAAGGGCCACAAAAATGCTCAGAGGGGTGGAGCACCTCTCCTCTGAGGACAGGCTGAGAGTTGGGGTTGTTCAGCCTGGAGAAGAGATGGCTCCGGGGAGACCTTAGAGCACCTTCCAGTACCTAAAGGGGGCTTATAAGAAGGATGGGGACAGACTTTTTCATAGGGCCTGTAGTGACAGGACAAGGGGTCATGGTTTTAAACTAGAAGAGGGTAGATTCAGACTAGATACAAGGAAGAAAGTTTTTACAATGAGGGTGGTGAAACACCGGAACAGGTTCCCCAGAGAGGTGGTAGATGCCCCATCCCTGGAAGCACTCAAGGTCAGGTTGGATGGGGCTCTGAGCAACCTGGTTTAGTTGAAGATGTCCCTGCTCATTGCGGTGGGGGTGGACTAGGTGGCCTTTAAAGGTCCCTTCCAACCCAAACCAGTCTGTGGTTCTATGATAAACAGGTTGGCTGCAGCTGCCTTTTCCACACCCCTTGGGACGAGCCTAGCTTGGAGAGCTCTGCCTCCTTAGCGTCTAACTGAGCCCTAGCTGCTTCCCCTTGACCCGACCATACTTGTGACCTTCCCAGACTAGCAAAACCCAGCCTTGCAAGCACCACAGACCATACCTTAAAACAACCCCAAACCCACCCCGCTATTGTGCTTTTCCCCTGCAAAAAGGTCCGTTCCTTTGTATTCTGAAGCACAGTTTTCGTCTCTGTTTTCTCATTAATGAAAAATTGAGGAACGTTTCCCTCCCCGACCCCAACAGCTCCTCTTCTCATGCTGCGAGCTCAGTTACTGAAGCCTCTTCACTGCAGTGCTCAATTATTCAAAGGTCAGATGCGTCCCTTGAGGTTTGACTGTAGACCCAGGTTAATGTTTACAGCCCAGCGCTGCTGAGCTAGCTCTCCGTCCTGCTGAGCTGAACTTCTGAGCTGGCAAGCCGCACAGAAATCCACCTGGCTTTCTGTAAGCTGGGAAAACAGCTCCTGAACTCCGAGTATAAAGCTCAGCAGCCCTCCAGACCCTTTCCCAGCCCTGTTTGCAAACATCATGAAATACCCTTGGCCTCTTTCTCCATCTGTTGAGAGGGGGCTGTGTATCACACTCACAAGGATGTGCACAAAGCCCTTTGAAGATGAAAAGTGCTCTAGAAGTGCTAATTATTTGGAGCAAGCGCCTCATTTACGTGCTGACTTTCCTTTCTCTCTCAGGGGCTTAAAACTCTATTAGAGAACTAAAACTGTACGTTACCCCTAATGCCCCTGTGAGCCTTGTCTGCAAAATGACTGTCATATTTGGCTCCTCTGGATTCCATTTTGGGAAGACAAGAGGGAGATTAGATTTTAAATGCCTTTATTAGCATGTTTGGAAGACAGGCATGAGGGGGATAAAAGGGGCCTGATTGGTTTTGGTACCAGTTAGCCAGCAGCTGAACTGAGCTGCGGCAGAAAACACAATCTTTTAGATTGCATTTGTCTCAAGTGATAAGCAGTGACTAGTCATTTCTGAAATACAGCATATTCCTGCCCCAACGGGCTGCTCACCACCACCTGGCACTGCTGGGAAGCCTTACCAGGCGCTTTGAACACCGTGCCCTTTTTTGCATAGCCCCATGCATACGGCTCTCTTCTAAAATTGCTCTTAGGACAGTCATAGGAAGTGAATGGCTTGTCATTTTAATGCCAAAACACTAATTAACTGTAATTTATGTTTAGTTTGTGCCAGTTCGTTGTTACCGTCCCTCTTGCTTCCTGTGGGATGCAGCGTAGAGTCGTGAGAGTGCAGCGGGGTCCTTGCAGGCTCCAGAGCACCGCATTCGGGGGGCTCGGGGTGGGG